TACTACAAGATAATAAAATAATATAAAGCATGAAAAAGATCAACACGAACGTCCAACGTAGCTAAGGTAGCTAAGGAAGGAAGCCATGTGTTCCAATATCTAAGGAACTGCAACACAGAAGAGGGAGTTGACCTCTTCTCCAAACCACCTGAGGACTGATCAAGAAGTAATGATTGGGAACTTATCAAGGAGAGATCCATTTCAATCAGAATATAGCTGGAAGAGACCTCTGAGGTCTTGTAGTCCAACCCACTGCTCAAGCAGAAAACACTATAATATTTCAGACAAACGGTTGTCCAACTTCTTCTTCAATACCTCCAGTGATGGAGCACCATGACTTCTGGTGGCAAGCAGTTCCACTGGTTAATTGTTCTATTAGGATGTTTCTCCTTAATTCCAAGTTGCTTCTCTCCTTGATGAGTTTTCACCCATTGTTCCTTCCTTCCTTCCTTCCTTCCTTCCTTCCTTCCTTCCTTCCTTCCTTCCTTCCTTCCTTCCTTCCTTCCTTCCTTCCCTCCTTCCTTCCTTCCTCCCTCCCTCCCTTCCTTTCCTTCCTTCCTTCCTTTTAATTTATTTTTATTTATTTATTTTATTTGTTTATTTTGATTTGTCAATCACTTACAAGATAATAGGTATAAGTATATACATAGTTATGAATACATGGATGCATATAAGAAAAATAAAAAAAAATATAAAAGAAACAATAGGACAGGGACGGTAGGCATGTTGGTGCGCTTATGCACAGACCTCTTAGGAAAGGGGTGAGGTCAATAGTAGACAGTCTAAGGTTAAAGGTTTTTGGGGTTTGGGGAAGAAACCACAGAGTCAGGTAGAGTATTCCAGACATTGACCACTCTGTTGCTGAAGTCGTATTTCCTGCCATCGAGTTTGGTGCGGTTGACCTTGAGTTTGTATCTATTGTGTGCTCTTGTGTTGTTATGGTTGAAGCTGAAGTATTCATTGACAGGTAAGTCATTGCATTCCTTCCTTCCCTCCTTCCTCCTTCCTTCCCTGACTCATGGTATCCTAAGGCTTGAAGGGACTTCAGAGGTCTCCTAGAAGTAGTCAAATTCATTGTTAGGAAATTCCTCCTTAGTTCTAAGTTGCTTCTCTCCTTGATTAGTTTCCACCCGTGGCTTCTTGTCCTGCCCTCAGGTGCTTTGGAGAATAGCTTGACTCCCTCTTTTTGGGGGCAGCCCCTGAAATATTGGAAGACGGCCATCATGGCTCCCCAGTCCTTCTTTCCTCTAGACCAGTGGCCCCCAACCTTTTTTGTGCCACGGCCCGGTACCGGCGTCACAAAATGATCCGCGGCCTGGTACCGGCATCAGCACACATGGCAAGGCGAGCTGAGCAACCGGCCAGCCAGCCGTCCCCCGCTTCTCCCCGCCACCTTCAACTCCTCCTTTGTACCTTTGTCGATGGGCTTGGCTTCGGGACGGTCGCTTGGCTCGCTTTGCCTTGGGTGCTGAAAGAATCCTCGCGCCTTAGTTTTGTTCGAAGCTGCCCCCCCTTCGATGAAACTAAGGCACGAGGATTCCTTCAGGACCCAAATGCCGCTTTCCAACCAGAAAAGCTCACTGGAAGCACTTTCTCATCAAAACAAGATGGTGGCGCCCAGCAAACCGGCGGCCCGGTAGAAAATGTTCCCCGGCGGTTCCCCGGTGGTTGGGGACCCCTGCTCTAGACTACCCATATCCAATTCTTGCAACTGTTCTTTGTAGTCTCCTGGCCTTTAATCCTCTTAGTTGCTCTTCTCTGCACTTCAGCAACCGGTTGCAGTTTTGACAACGTTGCAAAACGGAGCTCAGGCACTCCGAGAGGTTGCTGGCCAACTCTCAGCGCACCG